AAACTAGATAAGAGGGCCCACCTTCCCCAGAAGGCAGCTCAGCCCCCATCTCTTCCTAGTCCACTTCGGATGGTTCCGCCGTGGGCAAGCACCATGCTTTTCCTTCCAGGCCCATCTTTTTCTTCCAGGCTCTGTCTCACTGCTGGCTCCTGTCCTCAATGAACTGATGTCCTCAGTTCCAGCACTGGAGGCACAACAGAAATGTGATTTTAGGTCTGGATCCAAAGGAGGAATGTGACACCCCGCACAGGCTCTGGTGTGTGTGTGTGTGTGTGTGTGTGTGTGTGTGTGTGTTTCTCTGAAAGAATCACTTAACCTAATTTTCTTAGCATCAACTCAAAATGCCACGGAGACCAAGTGAAAAAAATGTCACCTAAGTACAAAGGGTAAATCTTGTTATTCACCTTAAACACGTACGAAGCTTTTAGCATTTCTGCGTTCCTCTCACTCTTCCTCCTCTGTTCTCTAAGCCTTGAAAAAAGGAGGACTTTCTGGAAAAAATGTCCTTCTGGTGACATGGCCGGGGCAGTGGGGTCATTTGGATGTGGGCCATGCTTGTTCACCTTGAAGATAAAGGGCACTTTCTGGTGAGCTGTCAGCCAGGGGCAGCTCCTGTGCACCTCTGGGAGATGGCCGAGCAGATGGGGTTCCAGGATGCAGGGCAGGGGCCCAGCCCACCCGTGTCACCTGGCACTGACATTTCGCGGATGGTTCTGCTCTGGCTAATTTTCCTACCCACGCGTCACTCCACCCACAGTGCAATTAGCCCACCTAAGGGCAGGAAGCGGTACCTGGATTCACATTCCTCCAAGACCGTACATGGTGGTGGGGAGAGGAGAAATTGGGGTGCTGGTAGGAAGGGGGGTGGATGCTGTGTGCCTGGAAGAGAACCTCCTCATGTCTAGATTTGTGGCTTATTAATAAGAATAATGTGTGAAAATGACCCTGCACAGTGCCTGGCCCTGAGTGAGCCCCTGACACATGGTTGCTACTTGATAGAGGTGACCAAGTGAAGAATAAGTTGGGGGAGGTGGGCACATAGAGAATGAATGATGACATGATGTGATGTGTGCTGTCATTGAGGCCTCCGTAGAGCGTTCTCGGAGCCAGTGGAGAAGGAAGTAGCTCAGCCAGCTCAGCTTAAGAGTGGTCAGGGGAGGCTTCACCGAGGAGGTAGCCTTCAAGCAGTACCTGAGGATAGGTAGAAAGTAGACAGGTAGGGAAGGGATCTGAGAGGAGGAGAGGCTTCCCATGTCAATGGAACAGGATCAAAAGCACAAAGGTGTGAAGATGATGCAGTGAGAGATTTGTGGCATAGTCTGGAAAGGGCAGATCTTGGTGTTGCTGGGACTCAGAATATTTGTGGGGTGATATTGAAGATGCTGGAGGAGTAAATAAGGACCAACTGCAACGGGCCTTATTTCGGCAAGTTAAAGAGTTTGGATTTTTGGTAGGGCGCTGTGGCTCACACCTGTAATCCCAGCACTTTGGGAGGCCGGGGCAGGCAGATACCTGAGGTCAGGAGTTCGAGGCCAGCCTGGCCAACATGCGGAAAACTCGTCTCTACTAAAAATGCAAAAATTAGGCAGGCATGGTGGCATGTGCCTGTAGTCCCAGTTACTCGGGAGGCTGAGGCAGGAGAATCACTTGAACCTGGGAGGTGGAGGTTGCAGTGAGCAGAGGTTGCACCACTACACTCCAGCCTGGGTGACAGAGAGAGGCATAAATAAATAAACAATAAATAAACAAACAAACAAATAAATAAAGGGTTTGGATTTTATCCTGTAGCAGAGAGGGCTTACTGTCCATCTCTGTTTATTCCTGAGGCAGACATCACCAATCGATCATGCCATTTTCTGCAAAGGGTGAGCACCTCTAGGCAGCTGCTGCCAATCATTCGTCATGAGAAAGAGAACATATTTGCTTCCCTGCACAGGCTCTGGGGAGCTATGGGAGGGTTTAAACAGATGGGTGATGAGGGAGTTTGTTGCAAGTATCCAGGTGATGGCAAGGCTGGCCTGGGACAGTGATTGTGGGAATGGACATGTTACCGCTCATGTTTGTCTCAGTCTTAACCATCCAGCTAAAGATTCCAGGCATCTCCTGAGCTCCCCACTTCCCGCATCCCCAGGTCCTCAGGGTTCCCTGTGTGCGTGTGTCTCTCTGTGTGCGTGCATTAGGTCTGTCTGGGCTTGATTTTAGGAAGGAGCTTGCTATATGTCTAGAGCTGCGCTATTTCACATGGCAACCACAAGCCACATTATGGCTATTTAAATTTAAAGTAATAAAAATAAAAATTAAAAATGTAGTTCCTCGGCCACACTAGCCACAATTCCAATCACTCAATAGCCACATGCAGTTAGTGGCTACTGTCTTTGACAGTGCAGACGTGTATCCTTTCCACTATGGTCTAGAGAAATCCTGATCGAGTGTCTAGATGGTGTGGTCCACTATGACCCTCAGGCCAGGCCAACTCCATCTTCTATATGGTGGCAGAAAGTGAGCGAAGAGCTGAAACTCTTGTCAATGCACATCTGCTCAGTAAAAGCAAAGTCTCCAAAGGGAGATTCTTAGACCGTTTTAGAGCTTCAAACCAACTCTGAGCGAATCCAGCCAGACCTGGAGGTCTCCAGGGAGAAGGGAGCAGCCGGCACTGTGCTGGGGGGACTGGCTGCTTCTGCTATATTCCTTTCACAAAGGAGTAAACAGGCGCAGAGAGGGTTGTGACTTGCACTCTGGAAGATGACTGGGAACGTCTCGGAAACGGAGCCGCAAAAGGTTGTTTTGCCACTTGCTGCCTGGTATTCTTTGGGGTCATCACTGCTTAGTTCCTTGGGCAGGAGCGGATTAGGTGGCATCTGCCAGTGCCCATCTCAGAAAGTGTCTGGGCCTGAGAGCCACAGGGGGGCTGTTGGATTGGGGAGCACGCTCGTTTCTCGAGGGATCCGCCAGAGGGCGCAGAGGCCATTATGTTCCGCCTGAGGGGCTCTTCCGGCAGGGTCTCGGAGCTGGGACCCTGCTTCTTGCCCAGCCTTGCGGGGGTTACAAACCATGTGTTGGACACCGCCCCTGCCCTGTAGAAGGGCTCAGTTTAAAGGGCAGAGACAGCATATAGCTTGCTTGGGTTTGCAGCGAGGGACCTTGAAGGATAGGTAGGAACGTGCCAGACAGCCTGGGGTGCAGGTGGGGAACGCCCAATAGTCCTTCTCCATAACCCGGAACAACCAGTGGCCTGTGACCCAGTGCTTGGTTGCCCTCCCAGCCCCATCCTGGGCCGTTCCCTGTTCTTAGTTGACAGGAGGGAGGAATTTCTGGACAGACCTTCTTTCTGCTCTACTAATACCCAACTCCGTGGAGTTCCCTGTACACACATACAAAGCTGTCTCATGCCTCTGTGCCTTTGCACATGCTATTCCCACAGTCCGGGACACCCTTCTCCTCCTTCTTCAGCTGGCCAACTCCTACTCATCCATCAGGATTCAGCTCAGGCAGTGGCTTCTTCTGGGGAGTCTCCGTATTCCAGACCTGCATGAGATGCTCCGACGGGGAGTTCCTGAAGCCTGGACTTCACTTCTGATGTGCAACACCTGAGAACAGGCGCTGGTGCATGCGGTCCTATAAAAGCGATGGAGAAGTACAGGGCCTGCTGGCGGCAGGCCTCCGGCATGCAGCTCACAGGACCTCGGGAGGAGGTGCCTGACCAAGCACCAAGGTATAGGCCCCGGGTGCCACAGCTTCTTGTATATTCCACCGCCTCCTCCTCCCCTCAGCATACACCCCTTTGCAGGTGGCAAGGGGCTTTAGGGTAAGGGGTGGGGAACTGGGCCTCTGGAAGGCTAATGAAGCTTCTCTAGGCTGCAGATGAGCCCAGTATCTCTTGGACTTACTCCTGGAGAGGTGGGGAAAGACAGTGAGCGCCCTGGCACAAGGTAGGGGAGCGTAAAGTCTAATACTGTCTGCAGGTTCCCTGTGTAACCTTGGGGGAAATCACTCCTCTTCCGAACCTCAGTTGTCTGGCCTGTAAAATGGGAACGCAGCAGCCGCACTTCCCCAGTCGCCAGCGGTTGAACGCGAGACCAACCAGCAGGGCGCAGGCTGCGGGTCATGGAGGTACAAGGCGGAGAAGGGGCCCATCCGCGGAGGCGGAGTCCAGCGGGACGGCGAGTCCAGGAGCACCTCCGGCGGCCACGCCGCAAGTTTGCCCCCAGCTGTTGAATGCGCTGGCGGAGGCCGGACCCGGACCCGGACCCGGATCCCGCTGGGTGAGCAGCGCAGGGGGCCAGGGCGGGGACTGGGTGCGCCTGGCCGGGGCTCGGGGCTCCGCGGGGCCGCCGCCGCCTCCCCCGACGCTGCAGCTGCAGCGGCGGCGCCAGGCGCGGCCCCCGACCCGCGGGCGTGTGTCTGCGAGCGCGCGTGTGTCCGTGGAGCGTGCGGCCGGCTCGGGGGCGGGAGCGGGCTTGCTGCGGAAAGGCCTGCTGAGGGCGCCGGGCGCGGGCGGGCGGGCGGACGGACAGACGGACACGGCCTGCCGCGGTCCCTGACGCGCGCCGCTTGGCCCCTCCCGGACGCCCTCCCCGCCGAGGCAGAGGCAGAGGCGCGGCGGCGGGGAGGAGGGGGCGGCGGCGTCTGCGCGCACACGCGCGCTCCCAGACACACACACAGACACACGCGGGCCACCCCACGGCCACGCGCCACGCACCCCGCACCCACACCCGCGCTCACACTCACATTCACACACACACTCACACTCACACGCGCAGGCCCCGCGGCCGCCGCTTCCCGGAGGCGGTGCTTGGCCCGGATCCCGGCTGGGGCTGGGGTAAGTGAATTCCTCCGGATCCGAGCGCCGCGACCGGGGAGACGGTGGGAGTCAGGGCTGGAGCCGGAGGGTACCCCCTCCGTCAGTGGGGGTGGGGCTTGGAGAGGGGCACGGAAGGGGGGATGAGACGGGAAGAGCCACCTCCAGTGTCTCCTGGGTCTGGGGATCCCCGTGAGACCCCCGGGGGACCACCCTGCGTGAGGGAGGTGGTGGTGGCGGTGGGCGGAGGCGGTGGGAGGACACCGAGGACGGTCGGTGAGGAGAGCGATTCTGGGGGTGGTGCAGAGGCTCGATGGTGGATGCTGTGCCAGCCAGTGCCACATTGCACCTCTCTGCCCTCATCTTTTCGAATCGGGGCCCTAATCCCCCTCTTTCACGGGGTACTGTCGGGTCAAGGCATCCATCCTCTAGCTGGTAAGAGGGGTTGACAGGGTGGATGTCTTCTAGGGAAAGGGGGGCCAGGGTGGGGCTTGACGGCGGTGGGGTTGGTAAGACCAGAATTGGGGGGTGGGGACCCTTGCAGAGGCACTGGCCAGGGACAAGGAGGGAGGCAGCCCCGGGAGGTGGCATAAATCGCAGAGACTGCAGCTCTGGCAGGGCCGGGGCCATTGCCGTGTGTGTGTGTGTGTGTGTGTGTGTGCATGCTCGTGCCAGCGTGTGTGTGTGTGTGCATGTGTGGGCTCCAGCAGCTGTCAGGGGAGGGGGAGCAGGTGGGTGTGTTGGCCGGTGGGGCGCCGTGTGCATGTGGGGAGGATTGTGCGTGCTGTGTGTGTGTGGTGTGTGCGTGTGTGTGTGGACAAGGGGTGGACCCTGCTCTCTGTCTGTACACACACAAGCGCACACATGCACACTGTCAGTGGCCAGGCAGGATTTCCTCGCAATGTTTGGAGGGAAGAAAGCTGGTGTGTGTGTGTGTGTGTGTGTGTGTGTGTTCGCATGCACATTTGGGGAACTTGTGTCCAAAACAGAGGCCACCAGGCCGTGGTGTGTCAGGTGTGCCCAAGGAGGGAGACGAGGGGACAGTGGTGCTGACCGTGCACTCAGCTGAGGAGGAACGTGGTACTCGGCTCGGCACTTTCTGCAGCTCAGGGCTCTGTGCTATGCCCCTTCCCCCTGGACTCCTCCCACCCAGCAGCTTTGGGTGGAGGGCACTGCCTTGGTCCCTTGCTGAGACACAGGTGTTGGGCTGGAGTGTGTGTGTGTGTTTGGGCTGCGGCTGTCGCTGTCAGCAGGCCAGGCTGTCAGAGGCAGAAAGCTGGAGGGAGGGGGGCGCTGGCAGCACCTGGAGGAATGTGGTGGAAGCTGTGGGGCACGGACTGCCCGGCGCAGTTACTGAGGGGCGTTTTAATATGCAAGCTGCATCACGAGACGGGACTGGGAATGTGTGCGTGTGTGTATGTGTATGTGCACGGCTGACACCCCTCTTCTCGTGGCCCGTGGACACCTGTGGGACGTGTCACGTCTGGGCCATCAGCAAAGCATGTGGGTATTCACATGTGTGCAAATGTGTGTCCCGTGAGAGGGGTGCACAGGCAGGTGCTGTCCTGATGAGCCGGGGGCCCTGCAGCTGTGTGGGTGGGGAGGTGGGTACCTCTGAGCCATCAACCCCTAGGCAGGAAGAAAGAGGGTTAATTGTGGGGACATCAGGAAAAAGTATGTATGTGACGTCAGTGAGAACCTCAGGTATGACATAAGCTCCAGGCCGCAGGTGACATCAGCGGGACAGTTTTGTCGGGGGTCGCTCTCCCCAGCCGGAGTGTGTGAGTGTGATGTTAGGGGAGTGTGTGTAGCCGGGTGTGGTTATGTCCCCTGTGTATGAGGGGTGGGAAAGGGAGAGGGATGGAGGCTTAGGATGCGTGGTCCCTCGCAAGAGGCCCCCTTTCCCAGCGTCCTGAGTGGGCATAGGACCCTTTTTCTTAAGTCCTGCCCCCTGAATAGTGCACCTCACCTGCCCTGACGTGCTACAGCCTCCCCATCTGACCCCCCCAGTCCCTGTTTTCCTCTTCATCCCAGCCAGCCCACCACCTCTGGGTGCATGTGCTTTAATGAGTGTGTATGTGAGTGTGTCGGTGCATGTGACAGTAGAAAATGGCCATAGCCAGGGAGCCTGAAACCATTGGTTCAAATCCCATTTTGCTACTTTCTGTGTTTTGTGATTTAAGCATTCACGTCGCCTCTCTGATCCTCAGTGTCTCCTCTGTAACATGGGGTGGGGGGTTAGAGAGGTGAATGGGGGTTAAGGAGACCATGGGCCTTGTGGGGGGCGGGTGCTGGTGCCTGGCATATGGTGGGGACTCAGTCCACGTGAGCTCTGTCCTCTCACCTGCTATCCCCTCAGCCCAGAGTAGCTGCTTTCCTGTTTTGGTTTAAGTCTAACTTTGCAAAGGACTTTCTTTTCTTTCCTTGGATTTCCACGCCAGTCCTTTGAGGTGGGTGAGTTGGCTGCTGTTATGTGGATATTTGACAGATGAGTAAACTGAGTTCTGGAATAAGCTGTCTGTTGATTTAATGTGAATTCCCACCCCCCACCCCGCCCCTTCAGTGGCTGCAGGGAGACACAATTGATTAGCCAGTCCCTTCTCAAGGGGTACCTTCATTTCACGGAGAGATATGGAGCTATGAGGAATTGGGGGTGGGGTGCCAGGTGATGAGCCCAAGGCCAAGAGGTCTCTGGCTTGAGGAGAGGCTGCTCTTGACTCGCAGGTCAGTGCTCTTTTGCTCTTCCACCCACAAGCTCCAGAAATAGTCAGGGTGATAGAAACGGGCACACCCAGCAAGCCTTCTCCAGAGGGGCATGTCTGGGGCGGTCACTGGGGGCTCCATGCCTATTCCTCAGTGTTCCCTGAGGTCTTGTAGGATGCCTGTTTTTGGCGGCAGAACTGGATTCCAGTGACACCCCTGCCGCATCTGCATCCTGGCTGTGTGTGACAGGGGTCAGCCTCTCCTGTCTCGGTAAGAGGGCGTTGGCAGCTTCCCTTTCGGGTGTGATGAGCGACTGTGAAAGTGTGACAACCGCGTGCGGGGCTGGGAGACACACGTCGCTGCTTACCCTCACCTGCTCCCGCCACAGTGCCTGGGGGCCAAGCTCCTCTCTCTTGGTGCCCCCACCCGCCCTGTGTTGTGACGTGTGCTTTGTGGAGTGGATGGCCGAGAAGTAGGATTGCCTTGAAGCCTGAGCCTTCTTAGCAAGTCAGACCTCTTTAGGAGCTGTGTTAATAGTCTAGAAGGTTAACCCAATCCTCTGCCTCCTGCCGTCCCAGTCCAATCCCTGATTAAATTAACCTTCTCTTGGCTCAATTACCACCTGGGGCAGAGGCATTGACATTATTACTGGAGATGGTGTCTGGGGGTTGGAATAATTAAGGCCTCTCTCCTTCCCCCAAGCTCTGCAGACAGTCCCCAGGAAAGCCCCAGAGAAGCCCTGAGGACTGAAGAGCCACCTGGGCAGGCTTGCTTATGCCTGGGGTGCCAGAGGAAGGGTGCTGGCTGCACAATGCTGCTGATTGAAATAGCAATAATTATAGTGATAATAATAATAATGACATCAGCTAATATTATTGAGCCCCTACTGAGAGCCAGGCCCAGTTTGAAGCTCTTTGTGGGCGGCATTCGTTTAGTCCCACAAAAGCCAGCTGCGGTAGGCGCTATTATTATTCCTCATTTTGAAGACAAGAAACAGAGAGGTTACAGACCAGTCCAGGGCCACACAGCAATGGAACCAGGACTGGAACCCTGAAGGGAGACTCTCATATCAGCACCACTGGTGGCCGAACTCCTTTGCCAGGTGGGCCTGGAGGCCTCTACATCTTGGCATACCCCTCTCACTGAAGGCCCTTTCTGGGCCTTGCTTTGCTTACCTGTAAATGGGTCCAGTGACCCTGCCCTAGGGAAGCGGGGGCGGGGGACACCCTCTGCTTTGGCTGCAAGAAGAGACAGGAAAGGAGGGGCCTCGTGGGTGGTGCCTGCATCTTAATCCCGCCATCCCATTCCTCCTGCGCCCCTCTCCCACAGTGATGGGACACCCCCAAAGGCAGCCCCTCGCTCCCTGGCCCTCCCACAGTGCCTCGAACAGCAGCGCTTGGAGGGCTCCCCCGGGTGATGGTGGGGAGGCTGCTGCAGCGTCAGTATCTTCCTCAGGTCCCGAGTCTATTGCAGCCTCAGCTGTGGCCCCCTGGACTCCCCACTTCCTGACCATCTTGCTTGTGGAAAGGGCAGGGGCCCAGGCTTTCTCCAGGGCTCCAAGTCTGACCTCTTTTCCTCCTCAGTGTGTGACCTGAGCAAGTCACTTCCTGTCCCCGAGGCTCAGTTTCCTCAATGTGGAGTGGGGACAAAAGTACCCAATTCTTGGCTGGGCGTGGTGGCTCACACCTGTAATCCTAGCACTTTGGGAGGCCAAGCAGAAGGATCACCTGAGGTCAGAGTTCGAGACCAGCCTGGCCAACATGGTGAAACTCCATCTCTACTAAAAATACAAAAAATTATTCGGGCGTCATGGTGCATGCCTGTAATCCCAGCTACTCAGGAGGTTGAGGCAGGAGAATCGCTTGAACCCAGAAGGCCAAGGTTGCAGTGAGCTGAGATTGTGCCACTGCACTCCATCCAGGGTGAAAGAGTGAGGCTCTGCCTCAAAAAAAACCTCCCCAGTAGCTGGGATTATAGGCACGCACCACCACACTCGGCTAATTTTCGTTTTTTAAGTAGAGACAAGGTTTCACTATGTTGGTCAGGCTGGTCTCGAACTCCTGACCTCGTGATCCTCCCTCCTCAGCCTCCCAAAGTGCTGGGATTACAGGTGTGAGCCACCATCTCTGGCCAAAACAACAACAACAACAACCACCACAAAACAACCAAAAAACAAAAAACGAATTCTTAACCCTTCTGGATTGTCCTAAAGGTCGTGCTAAAGGTTAGGTAAGAGAAGAGCACGGGTATAACATCCCCTGGCATGCGGGATGCCATTATTTTCCTCCCCCTTCCCATCTGCCCCCTCCATTCATTCTTGGCTTCCTGGAGGGGGTCTGTACTGTGTGTACATGTGTCTGTTTCCTTCCTACCCTTTTCGCTCTCTGCTTTTCACCCTCTAAAGTGCATGAGAACTGCTGGGGGGAGCCTAAGGACGCATGAGAAGAGCCTGGGTGCTGCCAGCCTGCACCCCCCACCCACAGCTGGAGTGTGCAGTGGGGCCAGGAGGGGCAGGCTGTGTCTTCGAATGTCTGTGTGTGCGTGACTGTTTGTATACACTGGTCCCCACCTCTCTCGGGGAAGTAGGGATTGAATCCCAAGGGCTGCCTGACCAGCCTGCCGTGGGCCTAGTCCCAAGACTCAGGCCTGACTCAGTTTCCCTCCTTGGCCTGTCTATTATCCCTCTCCCCCTACAATTGTCCCTGAATCTTGGAGAGACAGAGGCTGTGGGGTCAACCTACCTGCCTCCCTCCCTTCCTGGCCCTTCTCATTCCCCCAGGGGATTTCCTACATCTGCCTATTTCCTGTCTATTTCTCCCACTGCATGTCAGCTCTGCGCAGGCGGAGACTGGTAGGCCCTCAAAAAATACTTATTAAACAAATTCCTTTCATCTACATGCTACCAAGGACGGATCGCTGCATTTTGCATTCAGACGGTGTATGCACACACACCCTTATTAGCATGTTTCACCCAGGGAGAAATGCTGGGCCCCGGGGCTCAGGCAGGAACCCCCAGAGAGGAGCCCCTGCCTGGCAGAGCTCAGGGCCCTGGAGGAGAGGTGAGACATGGGAACCTCTGACAAGTGTCCCGCATGGGGTCTGCCCACAGTAGGGCTTGCTTGACAGGTGATTCTTGTCCCTCTGTGACCTGACCGAGAGGGGGTTGCTGCTGCAGGCTGGTGACCAGGTACGGAGTGAGCCTCCCGGGCAGGGCTGGAGAGGTTGTGCCGACTTCTGCTCTGGGGTCTGCAGAATTCCCTCAGTTGTGCACCTGCTATGTGCCAGGCATCGAGTAAGGCACTCTCTGTTATCTTGTTTAATTTTGGCTGGAGGATTGTGAAAGAGGTCTTGCCTGCCCCTGGGTAGGGGCGTGCCAGATGGAGTGACCGTGTGAGTAGGGTCCCGGAGGTGGGGAAGCCCAGAGTGGATTTTGAGAAAATGAGTCTGGACGTGTAGTTTGAGGATCAACCACACGGGACCATCCATGCTGCACCAAGAAATTGAGTAATATCCTTTTTGTCAGGGAGCATTAGAGTCTCTGGGTGTTCGTTAAAATGCAGATTCTTGGGCCCTGTCCACTGAGATTTTGATTGGGAGAGCGGACGAGGGGCCCAGGAACCTGCAATTGTAATGCTTTCCCGAAGATTAATTCACTCACATTTGTTGGTTGGATGGCAGCTGCATGTTCCTCGGGGTCTCTGAGACTCCTCCCAGAATCCTCCGGAGCCAGCAAAGCCATCCTCATTTTCCAGAGGAGGAGCTTGAGCTCAGAGAAGTGCCTAACCTTCGGTGCCACAGCAGCAAGACAGGGGCCCATACTGACTCATAATACTGGCTAATCATCTTCCGTGTTCGTTGCCTGCTGCTCTAAGCCTGTTTAAGGAGTCCCTCATTAAATCCTCAGAACGCCCCTCTGCATCATTCCTGTTGCACAGATGAGGAATTGGAGGCAGAGTGTGCGGTCACGGGTTCGAGGCTGCACAGTTGCTAAAGCTAGGCACGTTAGCAGCCTGAAGTGCGGTCCGGATGAAGTGGGGCTGGAGCGGGCCTGTCCCAGCACCTTGAACAGGGCGAAAGCCCTCCGTCTCCCTTCCTGTGGAGAGAGGGCGCTGGTGGAGCTGAGCTTGCGGCTGTGCACGTGAGAAGAGGCCAGAGGCGGAGGTGGAGGTGAGGGCAGAGAAGCGGCGAAGAGGGCAGAGAAGCGGCGAAGAGGGCGGAGAGCAGAGAAGACGTCCTGGAAGAGGCGACGCACAGCCGCGTAGCGGCGGCTCGATACGGTCCATCCACTTGGCGGAGGCAGACCTGGGTCTGGCGGGCGGCGGGGCTTGTCCGTCCTGGGGGCGTACGGGGCAGGTGCGCGATGGCGGCTTGGCCGGAGGAGGGGGCGGGCGGGAACTGCCGCGGACCTGGCGTGGTGGGGACGGGAGCGCTCGCTCGCAGCCCCGCCGGGGCCGCACCGCCACCCCGCCCCCCGACCCCGCCGCGCTCGCCACCCCTGCACCGTCCTCCGCAGTCCGCTGCTCTTCGAGGCTCCCCGTTCCCCGCGGCCCGCCCCGCCGGCCTCCGGAACTTGCGCCCGGCTGGCCCGCCCGGCCGGCCCGCCCGGCCGGCCGGGCTTTCCGCCTTACTTGCCTGTGTTTAGAATTTGCATCCGCAACCCCTGACGCTCGCAACCAATTTCGCAGCCTCTGGGCTCTGCTAGGTGCCCGGGATCCGAAAGCGGCCGGCAGGGGCGGGGGCTGGCGGCGGGGCCGGCCGCGCTGGGCAGGGGTACAGGGGGAGACCGGAGCCGGGACCCGGAGAGTTGCTGGTGAGGGGCTGTGTGTGCCAGGTGGGTGTGGACGGCATGGGGAAGCGCCGCGTGAACTGCCCTGGGAGCGCTGTGGCGTGCAGGCGTGGCTGGCTGGGGGTGTGTTGGCACATGTGCATTGGCACGTGTGTCCGGGAGTGGTTCCCTGTGTGTGGGCATGCTTGGAGCATGTATGTTTTGGCGTGTGTCTATGTCGGGGGCCCTGTGCCCCTGGGCACGTTTTTCTGGATGTGTTTGGTGAGCCTGGGGTGGGGCAGTCCATGGTGCCCCTGATTCGTGCGTCTGTGCAGTGGCCCCATGCATTTTGGCACCAGCGTGGGCCTGCGCGTAGGGGAGTGTGTCTGTGTGGGGCGCCCCTGTGTTCTGGTTCAGCCGTGTGCAGTGAACCTTGGTCTCTAGGCACGCAGGTGTCTGGGTCTGGGATGTGCGTTTCTCTGCGGCCCTGGAAAGTTCTCCTGTGTGGATTCTCTCTGGGTGTGCGCCGGGAGGACTGGGGTGTGTGTGTGTGTGTGTGTGTGTGTGTGTGTGTGTGTGTGTTTGGGTATAGCGTGTGCCTCTGGGGTGCTTTCCCATCCCTGCTGGCTGAGGGGCTCAGGGTCAATTGTGTGCTCCCAGCTAGGCCTGGGAGCCTTTCCTGGAGAAAGCCGGCCCTGCTAGTTCTCTCTGCCTTTGGGTAGGGGTGAGGGAGTTGAGGCAGTGTAGGGGGTGGGGGAAGGGAGGCCCAAGTGTGTGTTTATTTTCCGTCGGGCGCTGCTGGCTGCCAGCACTTGGTGGGTCTATGTTTGTGAATGGCAATGCCGAGGGGGCTGAGGTGTGAGCCCCTGCCTGCGGGGGAGGGCCAAGAGTACCATCTGGGCTGGTGGGGTGCGGGGCCGGACCGGGAGAGGGGCCTCCTCGGGAAGGGCTGAGTGTCTGTGTGCACGTGTTTGCGCAGATGGAGGCGAGGTTCCTCCGAGGCCCGTCTGTCTGGGAGCGCCTGTCTGTGCAGGTGGAGGTCAGCCAGGTACTGTGCTCTTAGGCTGTGTGTGAGCCCATATGGTGGGAAGGTGGGCCAGAGACATTACACCTGGCTGGGCACAGGCTGGGCACATCGGGGAAGGCGTGTGCCAGTCCTGGCAGAGTTCTGAAGAGGAGAGGGTGTGCCGAGGGCGAGGGTATCTTTGTTCCCTGGGGCCCGGCTGATGATGGGGTTGGGCGGTGTTGATGATCCGAGTGACCAACAGGAGAGTGGAGTGGTTGGGCATGGAGGAGGCGAAGGCTGTGTGGGGGCACTGGGTGTCAGGGGAGTGTGAGAGTGTGTGTGCATACACACGTGGGTGTGACGTGTGTGACCGTGGCTGTGAGTGGGGTGTGAGTCTGGGATGTGACTTGGGAGGCACCTCCAGGCTGTGGAGCCCAGTAGGGAGTGTGGGACAAGGTGGAGGGGTGGGAGTAGGGGCCCCCTGGTTCCCAGAAAACTCACTCATCTGTGCGTGCTCCTTCTGCCCAGCGGCTTGAAGAGCACCTGTGGCCCCTGACCTCTCCCCTGACCCCTGAGCCCATGGGTTATGATGGGAAGCCTCAGCCCTCCATCCCTCCTGCCTCATCATCCTTCTGTCTCTACCTCCATCTCTTCTCCTCTCCCTGCACCATCTCTCCATCTCTGTGCCTTCACGTCTCTGCCTCCATCTCTCTCTGCATCTCTCCATCTCTCCCCACCCAGTCTCCCCCATCTCTCTATCTCTGTCTCTCTCCATCTCTCTTCCATCTCCCTCCATTCTTCCTCTCCCTTTACCTCCTCTCTCTGTCTCACCCTGATATTCATTTGTGGTATATTCGGTTGCCATGGGAAACCCAAGAAAGAAGTGAGTGTACCCTTCAAGACTTCAGCATTTTTCCCTCCTCCCTCCCTCCTGCTGTCCCCCCTCCCTCTCCTCCCCTTCTCTTCCCTCCCTCCCCTCTCTCCCCCTCGCCTCCCTGCAGAAGGAGAGGACCTGGGTGAGGAGCTGCTGCCACCCGGGCTGGGCCAGGACCTGAGATCTCATTGCTCCTGCTGCCGCTGCTGCCTGGGGGACCTTTCTGAGACCCAGGTCGGGGACAGTGCCGGAGGGGCCTCCTCTGCTGCAGACATCTGGTAAGGACAGGGTCCTTTTGCCTGTGTGTGTGTTGCTGTCTGTGAGCATAGCTCACATGACCCGGCCTTGCAAACCTGTGATGTGGCCCAGCCTCAGGCTTCTGTGTGTTCCTTCCTGCGGGCCCAGCCCCTGCCCCCAGCCGTGGGCACCCCTCCCACCCAGCTTTCCTTCCATAGGGCCTGTGAGGCAGCCTCCAGAATGGCAGGCCTGTTGGGGGCTAAGACAGGCCCACCGGGGAGGGTGGGCAGGAAGCCCCTATTGGCTCAGGGACCCCAGCTCCTGCCCCATCACCCGGCAGAGAGGCTAAGCCAGGCCTAGTCTGCACCCCAGAAGGGCAGGGGGCATCTGTACACCTGCTGGGGGTGGACAGCCAGCTTGCAGGGGAAGGCCTGGGAGAACGTGGTGGGGGTCTCTTTCAGGTGGGGGTCTTTCCATTGTAGAGAGAGGGGCTGGAGGTGAGCTGGGAGCAGGGGAAAATGCCAGCGGAATTGATATGGGGCCTGATCCTATGTCATTGGATTTTGGAGGCACAGGGAGAGCTGTCTGGCACTGGGAGGCCGCAGGCAGGCAGACAGGCAGGCAGAAGGAGCTGCTCCGTCCTGGCTGGGGCTGGTGGCTGCCCTGGAGAGGAGAGGAGAGGCTGGGGCTGTCGCTGAGGCTGTGTTGGTGGCGGCCACGTGGAGGGAGCTGTTGTCCAGGCGGCGCTGAGTGACGGTGGTTGCCGTGGCGAGGGAGCCGCCTCTGTGGCATTGTGGTCTCCGTGGAGAGAGGAGGAGACAGAGGAAGGAGGCTGGCTGGCTGTGCACAGTGTTGGTGGTTGCTAAGGATAGGGAGGGGCTGTCTCCAAGGTGCGGTGGTCCCCACGTGTAGGGGCTGTGGCTGTCGAGGTGTTGGAGGTCCCCAGGAAAGGGGTAGTGATGGGTGCCCTGGAGGGGGCTTGTGCAGGGTGGTGGGTGCACCCCAGAGGATGGAGGAGGTGTGGTGGGGGAAGGGCTGCTGCAGGGGACTTGGTGCTGCTGTCACAGGCTGAAGTGGGGGTTCTTGGTGGTGGAGGGGTGGGGAGTGAGGCACAGTGGGCGGGTCTGTGCTTATCTTGCCTGCCCTGTGGAGGGACTGGAGACCCTGCTGCACCAGCACATGCTTGCTCCGAGCGCCTCCACCCAGCCCTTCCCTCCCACTTCTATGGCCACGATCTTCCCACCTCTGCCTCCTTGAGCCCTCTCGCTCCCCAGGGCCTCTGGTCACATAAGTCTCTCCTCTGGGCACATGCTCCTTTCTTGCCCCCGAGTGACTTTGTCCCCATTCGTCATGCTTGCTGAGGACCTGTTGACCCAGTGCCGTTCTCTGGGGGGACCACATTGGTACCTGCCTTTGAGGAATCAGACAGGGGAAGTGACTTGCCCAAGGTCACCCAGCAGGCACATTGTGGGGAGCGTCTCCCTCCCTGAGTGCCGGACTCAGCAGGCCTGACTCCTTCCCTGAGCCTGTCTGTCTGATCCCGTTGAGTCCTCTCTCTCCTCCCAGTCCCCAGGGGTTCTCCTGAAGCAGCATTTCATTCAAATACTAACGACAGGAAGCTGCATAGGAGAACAGCAAGTTCTGGCTTTGCAACCTGGCTCTGGTTTTTACGGTGGGGGACCTCTTGCCTCAGTTTCCCCCTCTGTGAAATGGAGATGAGGCACATGCCTCCTAGGGTGGCTGTTATTTGGGCTCCTGGATGTGATACCCTTTGTGTGGCTCCTGGTATGTAACAGACTCTCAGTAACTGGGAACCACCACCACCACCATCATTATTCCTTTTTTTGTTTTTTGTTTTTTGAGATGGAGTCTCGCTGTGTTGCCCAGGCTGGAGTGTAGTGGCATGATCTCGGCTCACTGCAACCTCCGTCTCCCAGGCTCAAGTGATTCTCCTGCTTCAGCCTCCTGAGTAACTGGGACTACAGGCGTGTGCCACCATGCCCGGCTAATTTTTTGTATTTTTAGTAGAGATGGAGTTTCACAGTGTTAGCCAGGATGGTTTTGATCTCCTGACCTTGTGATCCGCCCGCCTCGGCCTCCCAGAGTGCTGGGATTACAGGTGTGAACCACCGCACCCGGCCTACCATCATTACTTTCAAAAATCGTTTTAAAATGATTTCCTGACGCGCGCGGGGAGGCCAGATCTCACTAGAGTTCTGTGGCATCGTACCTTTCCCCATGACCCTTAGTGGTGGGAGTACGGTCCTGAGTTCGTGGTAACAGGAATGGGGCCGGAGAGGCAGAGAGCCTCCTGACAGGCACATAGTGTCCCGGTGGCTGAGCCAGGATGGAGCCGGGTGTGGCAGGCTCCCTGTCTGGTACTCCTTTCCAGCCTGCCCCAGGGCCTGTGTGTGCACTTTCATCAGGCGAGCCCTGTACCCCAGGCGTTGCCTGAGCCCCTGGCCACTGGTCTCCTTTGTGGGACTTGGGTGCTCTGAGCTGCTCAGCCAGCCCTGGCCTAGGCCACAGCATGCCAGGCATGTGACTGGTGGTGCCCTGAGAATAACCGAGTCGGGGGAAGCCTGTCCTGTCTACCATTTGGGCATCACCAGGGGGACAGGCCAGGTAAGGGACTGAGGGTGATGCCCAAAGAAGGCCATTTGAGAGGCCTGGGAAGTGACAGGTGACTGTCTTTCAAGTGACAAAGGCCTGCGTTCAGATCCCAGCACTGCCACTTTCCTGACAGCTGCCATTGGGCATGTTTCTCCACCTTTCTGGGCCTCAGTTTCTCCACCTGTACAATGGGGATGATAAGAATCCCTACTTCACCTTGCCAGAGCAAAGCCAGGGGACAAAGTAAGGCACAGTGCTTGGCACTGGGAGATAATCTGGGTGGCAGCTGCTAACATTTCAGGGTGACCTGGGAAAGAGGAGGGAGGGCTGTCCTGGTGGGCCTCAAAGGGCAGGCTCAGACCTTGGTTCATGCTAGAGATATTCTGACAGGCTGAGGTGTCTTGGGATGGGAAGGGGGAATGTAGTGAGCGCCCTTTGTAGGTGAGACTGCCCAAGGCTGCCAGGAGCATGGGGTTTGAGACCACTAGAGTTAGGTTCATGTCTTGATGCTGTTGTTTATAGGTTATAGGATCTTGGGAACCTCAATTTTCTGACCCGCAAAATGGGAGGACTATTAATAGAAGCAGAGTTACTTTAAATGAATGAAGGAATGTGGAAGAGACCTAGGATGCACTTCAAGCTGCATCGCAACCTGGCTTCCAGAAGAGGAAGGCAAGGAACAAGGGGTTTGTGGGGTTTAGAGTAATAATACTCACAGCTGCGGTTTATTGAGCATCTACTATGTGCCAGGCATTTCCCCACAGGCTCTAGCTCTCATTTGATTCACTGGCCTTTGGCCTTGCTGTTCCTTCCGTGCTCACTGCCGCTCCCCTGGCTCAGTGCATGGCTGTCTCCTGTTCTGGTTAACTGTCACCTCCTCAGGGAAGTCCTCCCTGACCACCCTGTTCTTTGCCCTTGGCCTCCTCCCTCTGATTTCTTAAAGCCCTTAACACAACTCGATGCTGTTTTATTTGCTTGCTTACTCTCTGCCCTCCCACTGCTATTGAGTATCAATGCCCTGAAGGCAGCTTTTTTTTTTTTTTTTGTCTTGTTCTCTGCTCTATCTCAAGTACCTTGAGTAGGGCCTGGCACATAGTAGATGTTCAATAAAATTGTGGGACTGCATGGGTAGGTAACCCCACCAGCCACCCTGGGAAGTCAGTCTTGTTATTCCCATTTTACACAAGAGGACAGTGAGGCCAGGGAGGCCTGGTAAGTTGCTGTGGGTACACAGCAGGATGTGAGTGGCAGGCTTGGCATTTGACTCGAGGTCTAGTGCTGTTTTCTGCTGCTGTATATATACCACCTTGCGGGGAGGCCTTGCGTTTCAGGCTAAAGAACTTGGACCTGACTGTGGATGCAGAGTCAAAATCACAGATTGTTAGGGAATGCTTGTGCCATAACAAACAGCTTTTGGTAAAAGCCTGAATTGTCAAAAGAAATCAATCCAGATGCTCACTAGCTGTGTGATCTCAGGCATATGACTTAACTACTGTGTACCTCAGTTTACTTGTCTGCAAAATGGGGATAATATCTAGGCTGGCTTCTAGGAGGCAGTGGGCTTTGAGCTTTGATTTGCGGGCTTGGCTCTGAGGCCTCCTCCCCAGCGTTGCCATTAATGGGCTGTGGGATCTTTTTTTTTTTGAGACAGTCACTGCAGCCTTGCAGCCTTGACCTCCTGGATCCAAGTGATCGGCTCATCTCAGCCTCCTGAGTAGCTGGGACTACAGGCACATACCACCATGCCAAGCTAATTTTGTTTTGTTTTGTTTTGTTTTTTTGGTAGAGATGGGGTCTCACTGTGTTGCCCAGGCTGGCTGTGGGGTCTTGGGAGCCTTAACCAGTCTAGTCTTAGGAGACTTCACTGCTGGCTGTAGAGGGATTTGAGACTTTGATTTTGGAATAGGCAACATTTTAAGTGCCTGGGACAGGTCATTTTCTACCTTGCCAGCCTGTGCCCTCTCACCCCCACTTCTGCCAGCCCCACCTCTTATACCCCTGGGGCAGAAGAGGGAATGGAGAGAGAAAAACCGGTTTGGACTGAGCACCTCTTCTGTGCTGGAAATTTCTGCCTGTACCCCACCCCATCTGTGGCCACAGCAGCCCCTGCAGCATGGGGAGTGTCACACCCACTTACAAACGACCAAACAGAGGCCTGGAGAGATTCTCTTCCCGGGTGCAGAGCAGGGATTTGGACCTATGCTCAGAGGTTGCCGCCCACACTGTGTCAGGGGAAGGGAGAGAGGAGGAAGTGGGGAGCGTGGTTAGGGGCGCCTGACCCAGGCCCACTCCTGGGTCACCTGGGGAGGCGGGCTGCTGGTCCCAGCCCTGCCAGGACGAGCTTAGAGTGCCGGGCTCCCAGTGCCAGAGACTGGACCTGGAGGGGCTGTGGAAGGGACAGACCGCTCCGCGAGCCTGACTGCCCACC